CATGCTCTGTTGACTGCTATCTTTCCTGTATATGTAATACAATATACTTTACTGTTTCTTTGCGTGTCCATGATTTTATGTCAAAAACTACACATTTTAGATACTCTATTCTGACAACTCTGGTATCAGGTTCTTACACCCTCAAGGTTTGTTGTTCTGGGTTTTTTGTGTGTGGTTGTTGTTATTGTTAACTTTCTTGTTGCTGTTTATTTGTTTAGTGACTTTTCTCAAGTAATTCTGTGGATTCTATATTCCCTGTTTTACATAGCCCCAGAGTTCCCTGCTAGCTTATTTTTTTTGAAGTTATTGTTTTTATTTTTAAGCCTGGACTCCAGGGGTCACACATGGGTAAGTGTAATTTGGTTGTCAACTAGTGATTGGTCAGATTTCTTTAAATGCCTTGTCTATGTGTCTTCCATCCTTTGCCAAGGGGGTCTGTGTGAGAGGATATGCCTTCATACTTGAGCAATTGTACAAAGTAGCCTTAGCTTTCACTTTCTTTTTGTACAGGGCCTCACAGTCAGCCAGAAGTAAGTGACTTGGGCATTCTTCATTTCCAACTCTTTCTTGGGTATGCGTGTAGCCTTGAGTACATGCACAACTCTTTAGAACCACAGGAATATGTCAGACCTTTTAAGGGTTCCCTGCAGTTGTCTCATTTTTCAGGATTTCATTTTAATTCATGGCCAAAGCAGTCAGACCTCTCTGTTGTTTGGAATTGTCAGCTTTTGGCTGTTGCACTGCTGAGCTGGAGCGAGAAGGAGGATGGGAATAGTCACATATTAAAATGTTACAGAAACCTCTGTCTTAACAAGATTCAATAGGTTCCTTTGGGTGGATGATACTTCATTCTGTACTTTTGGTTAATTGCCAGAGTTTTGAAATAGTTGATTTTAGTTGGTTTCACATATATTCATTGTTTTAAAGGGAAAGATAGTTCATCACAGTCCTCTCTGCCATTTTATTGACCTCCTATTGCTCCCATCTTTAAAAAAATTTTAAACTGTCTTCATCCCACATCTCCTTGCAGCTATGACTTTATTTCCTTAACAGGAAAACTCTCCAAAGGAGTTTTCATTCCTCACTTCCTCCTACACTTCTCCCATTCTCTGTTCACATAAGTATCTTAGATATATAATAAAATATTATATGTATGAGTTATAAAGATAATAATGTAATGAAAGCCTGAGAATTCACAACCCCACCCAAGAAACAACATTAATGTTGGCATCTATCCTTGTGTCATTTTCTGTCCTATTCCTCACCCCACTCCTACCAGAAACTACCATTCTTGTAAGTTGTATGTTTAACACTCTGTTTGTGGCTTTTTTTCCTCCTTATGGTGTCTTTACATGAGCAGAAATTACTAATTTTAATTGAGTTGAACAATTCAATTTTTTCTCTAGAGCCAGCTCTTTTGTGTGTTCTTTAACCTATGGCATAAAGATGTTCTTTATTCTTCTTTATTTCTTCTAATAAATGGTAGACATAGACATACTGATACATATTTTTTTTCATGTTTGTAGAAATGCTTAACCAATATTTGGCTTGTGAGCTTTGTAAAAATAGTATCATACTTTTTGTGGTGTTCTGTGACTTGTTTTTTCACTCATTATTATGTTTCCAAGGGTCCCCTGTGTTTTGCATGTAGCTGTAGGTTTTCATTCTCAGTGCTGTATAATATTTCATTGGATGACCACAAAACAAATTATTCACCCATTTATCTGTTGATGGACATTTGGGTTGTTTTCTAGCTTTTTGCTCTTGTGAATAGTGTTACTATGCACATTCTCCTGGTACATACGCACACCCATTTTTCTAAGTTATATACCTAGGAATGGAGTTTCTAGTTAATGGGACATGTAAACATTCAGCTTGACAGAATTATGGCAAAATGTACTCTAAACTGATGGTACCAATTTACACACCTTCCAGCAATTCATAAGAGATCCCATTGATCCACACTCTAACCAGTACTTGATATTGTCTCACTTTTTAAATTTTGTCATTGTAATGAGTGCAAAATGATTATCTCATTGTGGACTTGATTAGCATTTTTCCAGTCATTAATGTGAGTAAGCATCTTTTCATGTTTATTGGCCTTTCATTGTTTCTTCTTTTTTGTGTGTTGTATTCCCTAACCTGGTCACAAATATATTCTTTATTGTTCTTTATTTCTTCTAATAAAAGTTTAAAAGTTTACTTTTCACATTTAAGTCCTTAATCCAAGTGCAATTTATTTATTTTTGTGTGGTATAAAGTATAAGGTAGGGAGCCAGTTTCATTATTTTCCACATGGATAGCCTAATGATCTGAATTGCCACCTCTGTCCTGCATCAAAGTTCCATATCTGTATAGGACTGTTTCTGAGATCTCTGCTATTGGCTAACTTTTTGTCCCTGAACCAGTACCACACATACTACTCTAATTACTTTAGCTTCATAAAGAATCTTGATGTTTGAGAGCAAAATCTCCCTATCTTATTTTTCCTCAGGAATACCATATATTCTTGGCCCTTGTTATTTCAAACATATTTCAGAATCATCTTGTCATATTCTACAAAAATATTGGAATTGCAATGAATGTATTGATCAATTGAAGAGAATTGATATGTTTATGATGTTGAGTCTTCCTAGCTAAGAACATGATAGATCCTTTCATTTTAAATAAACTCTTGAATGTCTTTTGGTAGGGCTTTGTAATTTTCTGCAGAAGGTCTTGCATATCTTGTGTTAGATTTATTTCTTGGTATTTATGGTTTTTGCTGATATTATAAATGAGATATTATTTAATGTGTTTTATCTCTTTTGTAGGCGTATAAAAATGAAGTTGACTTCTTATGTTAATAGTATAGCTGTTTACCTTGCTAAATGTTTATTATTTTTAAGCAACCTTTTTATTTTAGAATAACTTTATCATTATAGACAAGCAAAGAGATAGTATGGAGACTCCTTACCATGGCATGTTTGTCAAACCTAAGAAAGCCACACTGGCATATTACTATTAACTAAACTTCAGACTTTATATGGATTTATCAGTTTGCTCACTAATGTCCTTTTTCTGTTGTAGGATTCAGTTCAAAATACCACATGGCATTTAGTTGTCATGTCTCTTTAGTGTCCTCTGATCTATGACAGTTCCTCCTTGGACAGTCCTTGTTTCTTATGATCTTAACAATTTTGAGGGGTACTGTAAAATGTCCCTCAATTTGGATTTGTCTGAAGTTTTCCTCATAATTAGACTGGGGTTGTTTTTGGAAAGAATACCACAGAGTTGAAGTGTCCTTTTCATGACATCATATCAGGGTGATGTGATAGCCCCATGACATCACTGGCGATGTTGAACTTCATCACTTGGTGAAGGTGGTGATTGCCAGGTTTCACCACTGTAAAGTTGCTAAAAAGGAAAAATGCCCTTTTTAGTCTCTGTTCTTTGGGAGAATCTATCCCACCCTCAAGAACAGGGAGAGGAATTAAGCTCTATCTCTGGAGGGGGTTGTATTTATAGACATTATTTGAAATTCTTCTGTAAAAAAGGATTTGTTTTTTCTCACTTGTTTATTTGTATATTTACTTATTATTCAGTCACTTGTTTGTATCAGTATGAACTTGTGTAGCTTAATTTAATAATTTGAGTTATAATTCCAAAACTAAGTTATTTGTCCTGTTGATCAAATTGTTCCAGCTTTGGCCATTGGTGGCTCTTTGACATTGGCTCCTGTGTCCCTTTGACATGCCCCCATCCTTCTGTTTTTGAGTACTTCCTTACTTGTTGGCACTACAAGATACTTCCTACTCATCTTGTTTTTTCCTGACCCAACCCTAAAATTGACCATTTCTCAAGGAGCCCTGGTTCCTTTTAAGTTGTCTGTATATTCTTTTTTGTTCCCTATGTTGACAACCATGTGAGTTATAAATAACAACAGCATTATTTCTTCCTTTCCAGCCTTTATGCCTTTAATTTATTTTTATTGTCTTACTGAGATGGCCAGAACCTCCAGGACAGTGTTAAATGGAAAAGACAGTAGTGGGCATCCTTGTCTCATTGGGTATTTTAGAAGAGCCACTATTCCCTATTAAGGATAATATTTGCTGTAGATTTCCATAGGGTTTATCAGATTAAAGCACATTACAGCCTGTTCCTCTATGCTATGAAGCTTTATTATTGTTTCAAATCATGAAAAGGTGTTGAATTTTTATCAAATACCCTTTCTGTTTCTTAGTACAATTATGGTTTCTTTCCTCCAATAATGTGATAAAGTGGTAGATGATATTTATAGACTTTCCTCATGTTGGCCACCTTTGCATTTCTGGTATAAACACAACTTGGTCATGATCTTTTCTTTCTCATACAGTGGCTAGACTTAGTTTGTTAATATTTGTTCAGAATTTTTGTATCTGTGTCCATGAGTGAACTGGCCTTTAGTTTTCCTTTCCCATGCTGTCCGTATTTGCTTTTGGCTTCAAGTTCTGCTGGTATCATAGAATGAATGAGTCAGTGCTCCCTCTTTTACAATATTCTGGAAGATGCTCTATGATTTTGGAATGATCTGTTTGGTAGAATACTCCTGTAAAGCCATCTTGGTCTGGTGTTTTCCTTTTTAAATTTAATTAATATTAAACTTCTAAATAAAATCTTTTCAAAAATTTAAATGAGAAACTTGAAATTTGCTTCCATAACATGTTTATTTTACATCAGGTTTGTGCTTGAAATGGCTATACATCAAATCCTGAGCAAGACTTTTTAATGATGTGTTTTCAAATTCTTAACAGTCACCATCAATAAAAATCTTTCTTTGTACAATTAGGTGAAAAAGTATATAAAACTAATTTTTAAATTGTTCAAAAATGTTTACTAGTCGAAATAATATCTAACAGCCTTTCTGTTTCACTGACAAATATATTGTTAAAATTTCTTATGATAATGTGATTAGATTTCAAATCCAATTGAACTCTTTCATATTGATTATTACAAAATAATGATTAAGCTCTTATTTGCAGAATATGCATCACTGTTAGAACCATCACCTTGCAGCTAGCTTGGACACCATTAAAAGGGCTCATCAGCTGCGGATGGATAGAAATTTCTGATACTTGTGAAGACAGAGATTCAGGGATTCTACCTGGAGCTACACCCTCCAGAAGCCCCTACTTGGCCCCTGCACACCCAGCCAATTACAACGTGGGCAGTGTGTGGTGTTTCTTGGCAACTGGAACACAGACTTCTCCAGCAGCTTCACAGGTCTCTTGTCCTCAGTGAGCTGAAGACCACAGAAGCTGGCTACTGAAGATGCTGTCCAAGTGATAGAGATCCTCCTTGGCCCTGCTTATTAGCACATTTACCACAGAGCAGTAACTGAGTGCTGGCTGTTACCCATTCTTGCTTACTACCTGCAGGAGCTACAGAGGGATTTGTCAGACCCCATTTTACTAAGGGCCACACTCTAAAGATCTCCACAGGAGATTGCCCATAGAAGGGTGGCCTGCCTTAGGATCTCTACTGCCTTAGGTCATATGTGGACACCAATAGGGCCCAGAGGATCAATATCTCTTCCCCTACCTGTAATCCACATATTAAGTAGAAAATTTTGTCTCCTGCCATTTTTTGTTCTTTGTTTGTTTGGTAGGAAGTTTTAACTACTGCTTCAATTCTTTTAGTAGTTCGAGAACTATTCATGATTTGTTTTTCTTCTTTAGTCAATTTTGGTAAGCTATAGTTTTCTAGGAATTGGTCCATTCCCTCTGTGTTCTCAAATTTATTGGCATAAAGTTTCCTTATTTTTTAATTCTCTGCTGTATATAACCTGTAATTATGTCTCCTTTTTCATTGCTAATATTGGTTATTTGTGCCTTCTCACTTTTTTTCTTGATCAATATCACCAGAGGTTTGTCTCTTTTATTAGTCTTTTCAAAGAATCAACTTCTGGCTTTGTTGCTCCTCTCTATTGTGTCTTTGTTTTCTATTTCTTTAATTTCTGCTCTTATCTTTTTTGATCTCTTTCCCTCCACATTTTTTGGATTTATTCTGTTGTTCTTTTTCTAATTTCTTAAATTGGACACTGAGCTCATTAATTTTCAGCCTCTCTTGTTTTCTAATTTGTGCAATTAAGGATATAAATTTCCCTCTAAATACTGCTTTTCTTCAAGTTTAGACATGTCATATTTCATTATACTTTGGTTCCAAGTACTTCAACATTTCCATAATGGTTACTTATTTAATCTGTGAGTTATGTAGAAGTGTGTTTTTAAACTTCTAATTGTTTGAGTTTTTAAAATTTATCTCTTTGTTATTGAAATCAATTTTAATTGCTTTATGGTCAGAAGATGTGTGTGTGATAATAGCTCTTTAAAATTTATTGAGACTTGCTTAGTACATGATCAATATTTTTTAATGTTTCCTACATGCTTTATAAGAATGTATGTTTTCTAATTGTTGAATACAGAGATAAGTCTATTATCAAGTTGTTAATTGTACTGTTCAAGTTTTCTATATCTATACTGATTTTGTGGTCATGATATATAAGTAATTGTAAGTGGTATATTAATATTCAACTATGATGGTAGATTTGTCTATTTATCCTTGTAGTTCTTTTTATAATTTTATACATTTTGAGGATATTTCATTAGGAATATTCAAATTAATAATTGTTATGTATTCCTGGTAAATATGTAATGACCCTCTCTTCCTGGTAATGCATTTTTTCTTGAAGTCTAGTTTATCTCATAGTAATATAGCAGTGCAAGCTTTTCTTTTTGCTAGGATTTGTGTGGTAAATAATTTTCCATCATTTTATTTTTCAACATTGAGAAGGGCATATAGCTGGACCTTTATATCTAATCTGGTGATCTGTGTCTTTTAACGGGCAAGTCTCATCTGTTTATATTTGCTGTGATATTTGGACTTGTTTCTGTCATCACAGTTTTCTATTTCCTACCAACACCTTTTCTATGATTCATTTTTCTCTTTTCTTGCCTGCTTTTTTAGTTTTGAGATTTGTTTGCTTTTTTATTCAACATTTTCCCTCCCTAGTATTTGGAATGCACATATTCTTTTTCTATTCTTTTTGTGGTTATCCTTCAAATTTTACCATACATATTTAACTTATAAGGTCTAAAGTTAAACAGAATTTTAGCCTCTTTCTTGAAGAATGCAGGAAACTTAAACTCTAGTCATTCCTCTTTTGACCACATGCTATTGTTTTGAGTATGTTAGTGTGTTCTTTTTTTTTTCTAACCCCACTATTCATCATCACTAGTATTATTTTATATAGACAGTATTTGTTTGGATTTACATGCATACATTCTTACATCTCAGACCATCATTCTGGGATCATTTTCTTTCATTCTTAATACAATGTTCCAATGTTCTTTGAGTACATGTCTCTTGTTAAATGCTTCAAGTCTTTGTTATATTTAAATGTCTTTATACTCATTCTTAAAAGATAAGTTTTTATAGGTATTTAAAAGTCTGCTGTCAGTCTAATGTCTGTTTTTTGTAGGTGTTTTTGTTTTGGCAACTGGAACACAGATTTCTCCAGTAGCTTCATTTTTCTCTCTTTTCTTGCCTGCTTTTTTAGTTTTGAGATTTGTGTGTGTGTGTGATAATAGCTCTTTAAAATTTATTGAGACTTTTTGTCTGGCTACTTTTAAGAACTCTTTCCTCTTTCTCACTCCTTTGTATTTTTAGAGATATGCAGAGGCTTCTCCAGTTTCATTCTAATATTTTTGGGCATGGATTTCTTTTCTATTTATTCTACTTTGGAAGTGTCCTTCATGCATCTATATTCATGTTTTTCATAAGTTCTAGAAAATTCTCAGCCATTGTTTCTTCATATAGTGCCTTTCATTCTTTCTAGATTTTCTTTCTCAGAATCCTGTTAGTCATATTTGGACCTCCTCATTATCTCTTTCATCTCATAACATCTCATTGACATTTTCTATCTCTTTGTTTTCCTCTGCTTCATTCTTGATAATTTCTTCAAATGTATCTTTCAGCTTACTGATTCTCTCTTTAGCTAAGTCTGATTTGCGGATTAATCTGTCCACAGAATTTTTTTTCAACAGTTGGATTTTCATTTGTCCATTTCCTAATCTGCCTAGTCATCCATAGTAGTCTCTTGTTGCTAATCTTTGTGGTTATGTATATTATTTCTTTAAACATTTTATACAATTTTTGTTCAACAAGTAATTGCTGTTTGCACAAGTATGACATTATGAATATTTTTCACACCTAAACCTCATAGTATACTCTGATTATGTATTTTTTTGTGTATCTTCTTTTTGTTTTCCTAGTAATTGTCTGGTTTTTCTTTCTAGTGTTACCATTACTGATTCTTCTCTGAAATTCCCTTTAAAATCCATATCAGATAATTTCCCTCCTCTCCTCAAAATTCTCTCATGACCCCGAGCTTCCTCAGAATAAAAGGCAAAGCTCTCACCATGACCCAAAAGTCTCTACACAATCTGGTCCGTCTCCCCTCTTTGACCTTGTCTCCTATCACTCTCCCTATCACTCACTCTTCTCCAGCCACACTGGCCTCCTTACTGTTCCTCAAACATGTCAGGTACTCTCCCCTCTTTGACCTTGTCTCCTATCACTCTCCCTATCACTCACTCTTCTCCAGCCACACTAGCCTCCTTACTGTTCCTCAAACATGTCAGGTACTCTCCATCTTCAGAGCCTTTTGTACTTGCTCTTCTCACTACCTGGAACACTCTTCTTCCCAGATAGTCTGATGACTTGCCCACCCACATCCAATATGCTTAAATGCCACCTCCCTATAGAAGCATTCCCTGACCAGCATATCTGAACTAGTCCCATTCACTAGCACTTTCTGTCCCCTTGTCCTACTTTATGTTATGTTTGTCTAAAAAGCACTGATAACCACCTGACATATTTTATATTTATCTATTGTGATTAGTGTTTGTATCTCCCCAATAGATTGTAAACTCCACAAAGCAGGGACTGTTGTTCACTGTTGTATCCTCAGTGCCAAGAAAAACAATGCATAGTAATATTTAGTAGACAATAAATATTTGTGAAATAAACTGAACAAATGAATGAATGAATGATAGTGAAATGCATTGAGAATTAGACTAGTCATGAAGGCTTTTTCATGCCATGCTAAGGAGCTTGGATATCGTTGTTCAGATGGGTGGGGTAGTGAGAATAGCTTCTGGGTTCTTTTGAGAAGCAAGTTCACAGTTGGTAGGGTGGTGACACAGCTGCATATTCTCTCTGACTGTGTCTGTATATCCTGGGGCTCCTGAAGGTACACTTGCCTCTTTCTCAAACAACACTCAAACCTGCTGTGTTGTCACCTCCCTGTTACTTGGTGTAGCTCTACCCTGGCTCTACCTGATCCTTCTGATCCTCGCTGGGATTCCCTTTCTCCTGCCTTGTGTGGAACTGTTTCTTGGTCCCCAGACCAAGCATATCACCCCATTAGACTTTTTTCTGTGGTACATGGTGGGGGTGATGGTGGTACAGAAGTTGTACAGCCTGTCACACAGTGAGTGATATTGTAGCAGTGGACACTAGATAGGTAAGTTTCAACTCAAAAATGCCTTCCATTGTCAAGGCTGCAACAGGTTGTGAGATCTGAGTCGTGACTTTTCCCCTAAGCCTTTTGGGAGGAGCATGGCTCCAGTGTTTCTGCCTTCCCATGACTGTTTGGATACTAATTCTGTTGTCTAATGTTTAACCTACTTGCCTAGTTGTTTGTCACCCGCTAATTTCATTGGAATACCATCAGTATACATAGGGCCCTGGATATGCTGCTGGAGACCTTTTTCTGGGCCAGCATGAATTCACAAATCATTATCAGTGTAATCCAACTAGATATAACTTCAGTTTAGCAAAATTGACTGACCACCTACTATGTGTTGGATCTCCTTCCCTGCACTAAGGACACAGAGATGGACAAAATGTGTTCCCAGACACAGAACCATAACTTCAGTGTGACCAGTGCACTAACAGTAATGGATAAAAGAGACTGTAAGAACCCCTAAGGAACATACAGTCCAGCTCAGGGATCCAAGGAAGGTTTCTTAGAAGAGATGACATATGAATTGAGTATTAAAGTTAGGGTTAGGGTTCTTAGGGTTGTTAGGTTAGGATTAGGGTTAGGCCCACTGCCTAGGTTCAAATCCCGGATCTGCCATGTCAGAGCTGGGCAAGTCACTTAACTTCTGTATTCTTTAATTTCACCTTCTATAAAAATGAGGATAATAATATTACTTACCTGAAAGGGTGACTGAGGCTATTAAGTGTGTTAATATATGTAATATGTTTGGAATAGTGTCTGGCATATAGTAAACTCTCTATATGTGTTTGCTGTTATTTGCATTATTACTTTTGTGCTGAGGGTATTGAAGACAGAGTTTCTATGCTGCAATGAGGAAAGGACAGTGTATGTTTTGCTCTGTAGGATGCTCTAATATTTCAGAAACAAAAGCCATTCACAAAAAACACAAAGTCAGGAATTCAGAGGAATTATTTGGGCACCTTAGTGTATAGGATAGCAAGTTCGTGAGGTATTCAGAATAGGATAGGGTTCTCCAGTGGAAAAATGGGAAGCAGTGTTTAAGGATGGGCCCCCTTGAGAGGGGACTCATGTTGGCTGTTTCCTTGGTGGAGCAGAGCCACACTAAATGGGGAAGCAGTGACCATGAGTGGTTATCTTAGGGCAAGGGGTTTCAGAATCATTTAATAATGCTCTTCTCTTCAGAACAAACCTGTCAGTTATGGAGAGGCTTTAAAGGATGTGATGGCTCTTCTGGATGAGGACACACATCTGTTGAGGGCAAGGCTGCCGCCAGGGTTGATTCACACTCTCACAGGTAGGACTGACCACATTAAAAATGCTCTCAGCCTCTGTTCTAAATTCTAAAACAGTTTCTGTTCTGGGCCCTCTCTGAGTTTGGAAAAAGTCCCAGCCTCAGTAGCCATCCCAGACACAATCTAGAGGATATGGACAGTAAGAGTGGGTCATACTGAAAGTAAGTACTTGGTGGGGTGTCAAATTTGAGGAAAGAGTGTTAAGAGTGAAAGTTCAAAAGATGCAAAAATTTTAAGCAAAATTATATCAAATCAAATATAATATATTGAAAAGATAAGAGAGCATGACCAAGTGGTGTTTATCTCAGAAATGCAGGGTGGGTTTAACATTAGAAAAGCAACCATTGCAGTTTACCATGTTAACAAGCCAAAGAAAGAAAAACCCATATGATCACTGAAATAAATGCAGAAAAGCATTTAAGAAAATCCAATATCCATTCCCAATTAAAAAAGAAAAGAACCTCTTGACAAACTGGAAATAGAATGGAACTTTCTCAACCTGATAATAGGGCATCTACAAAAACCCTACAGATGGAGGAGGAGCAAAGATGGCAGCGTGAGTAGAGCAGCAGAAATCTCCTCCCAAAACCATATATTTTTTTGAAAATACAACAAATACAACTATCCCTAAAAGAGAGACCAGAAGATACAGGACAACATCCAGGCTACGTCCACACATGTGAGAACACAGCGCCTCACAAAGGGGGTAAGATACAAGCCCCAGCCCGGTGGGACAAAGCACCCCCTCACCCCAGCTCCCGGTGGGAGGAGAGGAGTTGGAGCGGGGAGAGAGAGGGAGCCCAGGACTTCTAAATAGCCAGCCCTAGTCATCCACACAGGAGTGCAGACACACAGGGTGTGGGGTGCTGGATACTAGGGAAATGGGACAGTAAAACCTGGGCATGGGTCCCCGCAGCCAGTGCCCCTGGGACAAAGAAAAGCGAGTGCTTTTTGAAAGTCTTAAAGGGACAGGGACCCCACAGCTGGACGGAAGTGTCCCGGGATACATAGCCCAGCAGCTGGGAATCCCAGGGAACTCCGGGCACCCTATCCCCCTGGGAGACAGCACAACTCAGAGGCTCCTCATGGTGATAAAAAGCCTCCCACCCGTTTCTCCTCCAACGTGGCTCTGCCATAGTAGGGAAGCAGCCTGAGGCTGGCCATGCCCACAGCAGCAGAGCAGAGCTCTTTCACAGTGGACAGGCAAGAATTAGAAATCCTGTCTGCGCACAGCTGCCCAGCACAAGCTGCTAGGGGTTGCCATTCTCCCAGGAGAGGAAGGCCACAAATCAGCAAGAAAGGACATTCTCCCAGCCAACACATGTGCCACTCCCCACAACTACCTCTAACGCCATGAAAAGGCAGAAAAATTCGATACTGACCAGACTAACCCAGACATCCTCCCCTGACAAGGAATCCGGGGAGATAGACCTAACCAATCTCCCTGAAAAAGAATTCATAATAAAGGTCATAACCATGTTGATGGATCTTCAGAGAAATGTGCAAGACCTAAGGGATGAACTCTGGAGGGAGATTACAGAAATAAAACAATCTCTGTAAGGACTTAAGAGCAGACTGGATGACGTGCAAGAGGCCGTTAATGGAATAGAAATCATAGAACAGGAATGCAGAGAAGCTGATGCAGAGAGAGATAAAAGGATCTCCAGGAATGAAAGAATTTTAAGAGAACTGTGTGAGCAATCCAAAAGGAACAATATCCGCATTATAGGGGTACCAGAAGAAGAAGAGAGGGAAAAAGGGATAGAAAGTGTCTTTGAAGAAATAATTCCTGAAAATTTCCCCAAACTGGGGGAGGAAAGAGTTGCTCAGACCATGGAAGCACACAGAACTCCCAACAGAAGGGACCCAAAGAGGACAACACCAAGACACATAATAATTAAAATGGCAAATATCAAGGACAGAGACAGAGTTCTAAAGGCAGCTAGAAAGAGGAAAAAGGTCACCTACAAAGGAAAACCCATCAGGCTATCATCAGACTTCTCAACAGAAACCCTACAGGCCAGAAGAGAATGGCATGATATACTTAATGCAATGAAACAGAAGGGCCTAGAACCAAGAATACTGTATCCAGCATGAATATCATTTAAATATGAAGGAGGGATGAAACAATTCCCAGACAAGCAAAAGTTGAGGGAATTTGCATCCCACAAACCACCTCTACAGGGGCATCCTACAGGGACTGCTCTAGATGGGAGCACTCCTAAAAAGAGCATAGAACAAAACACCCAACATATGAAGAAGGGAGGAGGAGGAATAAGAAGGGAGAGAAATAAAGAATCATCAGACCGCGTTTATAATAGCTCAACAAGTGAGTTAAGTTAGACAGTAAGATAGTAAAGAAGCTAACCCTGAACCTTTGGTAACCACAAACTTAAAGCCTGCAATGGCAATAAGTTCATACCTCTCAATAGTCACCCTAAATGTAAATGGACTGAAATCACCAATCAAAAGACACAGAGTAATACAATGGATAAAAAAGCAAGATCCATCCATATGCTGCTTACAAGAGACTCACCTCAAACCCAAAGACATGCACAGACTTAAAGTCAAGGGATGGAAAAATATTTCATGCAAACAACAGAGAGAAGAAAGGTGTTGCAATTCTGGTATCAGACAAAACAGACTTCAAAATAAAAAAAGTAACAAAAGACAAAGAAGGACATTACATAATGATAAAGGTCTCAGTCCTACAAGAGGATATAACCATTATAAATATATATGCACCCAATACAGGAGCACCACCATACCTGAAACAAATACTAACAGAACTAAAGGAGGAAATAGAATGCAATGCATTCATTATAGGAGACTTCAGCACACCACTCACTCCAAAGGATAGATCCAACAGACAGAAAATAAGTAAGGATACAGAGGCACTGAACAACACACTAGAACAGATGGACCTAACAGACATCTATAGAACTCTACACCCAAAAGCAACAGGATACACATTCTTCTCAAGTGCACATGGAACATTCTCCAGAATAGACCACATACTAGGCCACAAAAAGAGCCTCAGTAAATTCCAAAAGATTGAAATCCTACCAACCAACTATTCACACCACAAAGGAATAAAACTAGAACTAAATTGTACAAAGAAAGCAAAAAGGCCCACAAACACATGGAGGCATAACAACATGCTTCTAAATAATCAATGGATCAATGACCAAATAAAAATAGAGACAAAGAAATATATGGAAACAAGTGACCAGAAAAACACAAAGCCCCAACTTCTGTGGGATGCAGCAAAAGCAGTCTTAAGAGGAAAGTATATAGCAATTGGTGCATATTTAAAGAAGGAAGAACAATCCCAAATGAATAGCCTGAGACACAATTATTGAAATTGGAAAAAGAAGAACAAATGAGGCCTAAGGTCAACAGAAGGAGGGACATAATAAAGATCAGGGAAGAAATAAATAAAATTGTGAAGAATAAAACAGTAGAAAAAATTAAAGAAATCAAGAGCTGGTTCTACGAGAAAATAAACAAAATAGAAAAGCCTGTAGCCAGACTTATTAAGAGAAAAAGAGAGTCAACACACATCAACAGAATCAGAACCAAGAAAGGAAAAATCACGACGGACCCCATAGAAATACAATGAATTATTAGAGAATACTACGAAAACCTATATGCTAACAAGCTGGAAAACCTAGAAGAAATGGACAACTTCTTAGAAAAATACAACCTTCCATGACTGACCAAGGAAGAAACCCAAAATCTAAACAAACGAATTACCAGCAAAGAAATTGAAGTGGTAATCAAAAAACTACCCAAGAACAAAACCCCCAGGCGGGACGGATTTACCTCGGGATTTTATCAGACACACAGAGAAGACATAATACGCATTCTCCTTAAAGTTTTCAAAAAATGGAAGTGGAGGGAATACTCCCAAACTCATTCTATGAAGTCAATATGACCCTAATACCAAATCAGGGCAAAGATCCCACCAAAAAAGAAAATTATAGATCAATATCCCTGATGAATGTAGATGCAAAAATTCTCAACAAAATATTAGCAAACCAAATTCAAAAATACATCAAAAGGATCATACACCATGACCAACTGTGATTAATCCCAGGAATGCAAGGATGGTACAACATTCGAAAATCCATCAACATCATCCACCACATAAACCAAAAGAAGGACAAAAACCACATGATCATCTCCATAGATGCTGAAAAAGCATTTGACAAAATTCAACATCCATTCATAATAAAAACTCTCAGCAAAATGGGTATACAGGGTAAGTACGTCAACATACTACAGGCCATATATGATAAGCCAACAGCCAACATCATACTGAACATGAGGAAGCGGAAAGCTTTTCCTCTGAGATCAGGAACAAGGCAGGGATGCCCA